ATTCCATCAACTCAGCCTTCCAGACTTGTACAAGGAGTGAGAGGGGAGGCTGAAATGTTGTACGTGAGCTACTGAAATTTTCTGCTAGGTGAATTGTTCAGTGGCGTTAAGCACATTCACGTGGCTGTGCAACCATCACCACAACCATCTATCGCCAGAATTCTTCATCTTGCAAAACGAACTCTGCACCTGTTACACAACTCCCCAACCTCTCACCCCAATCCTTTGGAACTCACTATTCTGTCTCTATGAATTTCACTCTTCTACATACCTCATAGAGGTAGAATCCTACAGTATTTGTCTTTTTAGGACTGGCTTATTCTACTTGGCATGTCAAGATTCCATCATGTACCATGTAGCATGTGTCAGAATTTTCTTTTTTTGAATCGGAGTCTCGCTCTGTCACCTAGGCTGGAGTGCAGTGGCGGATCTCAGCTCACTGCAAGCTCTGCCTCCTGGGTTTATGCCATTGTCCTGCCTCAGTCTCCCGAATAGCTGGGACTACAGGTGCCCGCCACCACGCCCGGCTGCTTTTTTTGTATTTTTTAGTAGAGATGGGGTTTCACCGTGTTATCCAGGATGGTCTCGATCTCCTGACCTCGTGATCCACCCATCTCAGCCTCCCAAAGTGCTGGGATTACAGGCTCCAGCCACCACACCCGGCCAGAATTTTCTTTTTAAGGCTGAGTACAATTCCATTGTAGGTATATACCACATTCTGTTTATCCTTTCATCCATGAATGCCTGGGCTACTTCCGCCTCTTGGCCGTTCGTTATTGTGAATTATACCGCTATGAACATGGGTGTGAAATCTGAGATCTTCCTTTTAATTCTTTTGGGTACATACTCAGAAGTAAGATTGCTGGCCCATACAGCAATTCTAATTTTTCAGCATACACATTTATAATGTTCTTTCTGTACCTTTCCAACACACTCAGAAGTAAGCCATGATATTAGGCACCTGGCCTCTATCTCCCGTATTCCTGTATCTCCAGCATCCAGCATGGTACTCAGAACGTACTGGTCACTTACCAACAGAGTAAAATCTGGATGCTCAAGCCATGACCTCAACTTTTCCCCTAAACTGCTTCTCCACCAGCTAACAAGCCTGGAACAGAAGCAGGTCTGTGTTTCAGAAGGCAATTGCTGGGGACTTACCCAATTATTTGTAGGTTAGACGTGGGACAGGCAAAGGCCGAACACAGCTTCATCATTCCTTCG